AAGTCCCAGAAGAGAATATAGACACGAAAATCTCAGATATTCCACACAGAAAATTTTCACCAATATGTCCCCTAGAGCAGGGGACATAAAGGACAGAATAAACAAATGGGACTTCAACAAAATAAAAAGCTTCTGCATGGCTAAAGAAAACATCAGCAAAATGAAAAGGGAACCAACCGTATGGGAAAATATATTTGCCAATGATACCTCGGACAAGGGTTTGATCTCCAAAACATATAAAGAACACACACAATTCCACTCCAGGAAGACAAACAATCCAATTTAAAAAAGGGTAAAGGACCCAAACAGACACTTCTCCAAGGAGGACACACAGAGGGCCCAGAGACATGTGAAAGGATGTTGAGTATCACTAGCCATCAGAGAGATGCAAATTATAGCCACAATGAGATACCACTTCACACAGGTCAGAATGGCCATCATAAACAAATCAACAAACAACAAGTGCTGGTGAGATTATAGAGAAAAGGGAACCCTAGTGCACTGTTGGTGGGAATGCAGACTGGTGCAGCCACTGTGGAAAACAGTATAGAATTTCCTCAGAAAACTAAAAATGGAACTGCCTTTTGACCTGGCAATTCCACTGCTATAATTATACCCTAAGAACCCTGAAACACCAATTTAAAAGAACCTATGCATCCCAGCAGCACAATGTATAATAGCCAAGTGCTGGAAGCCACCTAAGTGCCCAACAGTAAATGAGTGCATCAAAAAACTATGGTACATTTATACACAATGGAATACCATGCAGCAGAAAGAAAGGAGTTCCTAGCCTTTGCAACAGCATGGATGGAACTGGAGAGCATAATGCTGAGTGAAATAAGCCAGGCGATGAGGGACAAATACCATATGATCTCACCTATAAGTGGAACCTAATCAACAAAACAAACAAGTGAGCAAAACAGAACCAGAGACATGGAAATAAAGAACAAAGTGACAGTAACCAGAGGGGAGGGGTGGGAAAGAACAGGGAAAGAAGGGGAAGGGTCGAGTCAAGGACCATGTATAACGGACCCGTGGACAAAGACAACAGGGGTGGGGGGAAACTGAATGTGGGAGGTGGGCGGTGGGTAGGGCAGGAGAAAGTAATAGGGGAAAAATGAGGACAACTATAATTGAACAATAAGAAAATTAAATAAAATAGGGATTTAAATTAAGAGTTTATTTCAAAGCTTCATATGTGATGACTTCATTTAAAAAAAATTTAATTCTCACCTGAGGATATGTTTATTGGAGGAAGGGGGAGGGGGAGAGAGAGAGAGAGATGTAAGAAACATTGATCGGTTGCCTCCCACATGCACCCCTACTGGGGATTGAATGAGCAACCTAGGTATGTGTCTTGACTGGGAATTGAACCCACGACCTTTTGGTGTATGGGACTATGCTCCAACCAACTGAGCTACCTGGGCAGGGCCCTAAGTATTCGTTGAAAAGAAGAGAAGCACTTCATTCCATGTTTCCAGGACTGAATTCAAGCCTCCATCACATACCATGTTCCAGTAGGAAGGAATGATGGAAACAACGTACATCAGGACAGCTAAGCCCTTACATCCTCTTTCTGACCAGTGCTGGGGCTCAGAGCGAGGATGCCCCTGTTCACACCCAGCGTTGGTGTGCAGCTGTTGGCACTTGTACTCGCAGAAAGGCCCTCCTGCAGGCTCTGCTCCTGCTGAGCACGCGGGGCTCGGGCTGCTGCTTCTAGGAAGGCACTCTTACCCGGCATCCCCCAGGTGCCAGGATTCTTCAGAAAATTTGCCAAAATTCTGTGCTCATGGCATCTACCTGGGGGGGCGCTGTCCTGAGTTCTCCGCAGTGTCTCCAAGGTGTTAATGCCTCAAGGAAGAGCGAGGTGGACACTGAGGGCAAACCTGTGGCCCCCTCTCGGGCTGTGGCCTCCTTGCTCTGAGTGGGGCGGCGGGGAGGTGGAGGCAGGATGGTTAGAGAACAGATTCGGAATTTCCCCCAGCTCTAGAGCACCAAGGCAGAGAAAGCGGGGTTGCAGATGCCTTGCTCGTCTTTCAGACTGTGGGGGACTGTGTGGCCGTGGGCCTTGAGCGAATGACAAGTTCCCAGTGGCCTGGCATGCCCATCCTTCTCAAGCCTGGTTTTGTGAAGCCTCCAGCAGACAGGAGTGACCGTTCTGTCACTGTTATGACTAATTGATCCGGTTTCCTGATCAAAAACGAACATCAGAGAGCTGCCTTACTGTCAAAGGTGGCCTCATGCTCAGATGTACCCAAGTAGGTGCCAGATGACCCTTCAGGCCTGCATCCTGCTGTTGCGAAATGCAGCCCCTCCCCTATCCCCACCCCCGCTGACACAAAGCATTTCAGTCGGTTAAGAAAAAGTATTTCAGTCCTATCTACACAGAAAATGGGAAGCGGGTGAGACAGAGAACTAGAACCTAGGCCAATATCAAGGGAAGTGCTTGCCTTCTCCAGAGGCCCACCTGTCTGGAGGGACTCTAGCCCTTTGAAGCAGAGGAAAGAAAGTGAGCAGTGGAGGGCCCTTCTGCTCCTGTTGTTTTAAGCAGTGAATGTCCTGAACTACCTCAAAACCCACGGTGAACCCAAGTGCTCCCCCAGTGCACACGCAACGGCACCGGGTGCCGGGACTGGTCCGCGGGGGTCTCCGGGCTCCACCTCGTGAGCAGACAAGCACACCGAGGCTCTGAACGTCTGCTCCTGGGCTGCCTGCTTTTGACAACTCAGCTGGGAATCCGCGGGTTCCTTCCAGTAAGACATCTCACAGAAATGTTTTATCTTTCAGTTTAAAACCAGTTGCTGGTGAGACTGAAATGCTCTGACACTCCGATATCCACCTGTGATCATATCAAATGTGTCGTCAGAGATGGCGGGCGATGTAGACATGTGGACGATTGCCATTCAAACACACACAAATCAGACATGCCATATGATTCTCTTTTAAAATGTGTCTATTAGTTTCACCAATCAAAACACATGTAACACATCTCATTAGAAAACACCGGGCGACCTTACTTTTGAGATGTGTGATCTGAAAGGTCGCACCTGTATTTCCCGCTGGTGTGAAGCTTCAGAGGCACTGTGTGGGTGATGAAGCAAAAGACCCCCGCCCCCACTCGGCCTTCCTGCTCACTCGGGGCTCTCCTGGGGCTGCGGCTGCAGGCAAGGGCTCTGCTGCAGGTGCCTGGGCCCAGCACTGCGGCTCTCGTTTGCATCGCAAAGAGAAGACCAGGGCTGGGCTGGCCTCTGCAGACCACAGATGATCAGCCCTGAGTAGCATGTGTTTCTAGAACGCTCTCTCTCTCTCTGGAAACTGCACTGGAAGCCAAGACCCGACAAAGTCGAGGCAGGCATTTCTGTTTTGACTGAAAACAAACAAAACAAAACCTAGTCCAAATTCCAGGCTAATCACAAATTACCCGGCTTATAAAAATATGGGTCGAAAATAGTTACTTCCAGGGTTGTGTGCAATATAAATTATAAAAATGAATTGGAAAAGATGAAGCATTGAGCACATTTTCAGTTCTCATCCACATCAGCACTCGCCCTGAGCGCTGCCTGGCCCGGCCCACCTCACTCGCTGCTGGGGAGCCAGGGCCGTGAGGTGTGGGGGGGCACTCCCGCAGGGCTCTGCTGTCTGCAGCCCGGGCCGTCCTCTCTGTGGTCTCGGCGGGAAACCCGCCCGCACAGATGCGGCCCCACCTGGGAGCACACAGGGGAATGGCTGCGTGAGCGGGAAGCCTGCCCGTGGGGCGCCTGGTGGGGGGGCCCCTGCACCGTCAGCGCAGGGTGTAGCACGTTCATAGCTTAGGGCACATAATACATTTAGAAAACTCTCCCCTTTCTTCGTTTTTCTTTTTAAAGATAGGTTTACTATAGCTTTTAAAAAGAATGTAGGTTACAAAGGAGACCATTTTAAGATGCTTTTATATGTGTAGTAATAACTTTCTTCGCTATACCATCAGGCCTCCCAGAACGAAATCATCCCAAGTCCCACAAAAGTTGCTTCTGCCTCAGTCCAAGTTAGTATTTCCTTCTTGTACCTGAATGTGTCTAAATCTCAAAATATAAAGCTATTATTTCAGTACTACATTTGCTCATCAAAGGTCCCACTTCCCAGTGATGAGGCCAAGCAGTAAGATACAACTGGTGCAGAGAGAATCACACATTTTAGACAATATTTATAAGCTTTCTTGCACAGTTCCTCCTCAGAACCCTGCAGCCTCCAAAATAACTGAACACCAGACAGGAACCTGAGGCAGAACCAAGCTCAAGGGGAAGCACCAGGTGCACGGGGAGCCGCTGTGACCCCGGCAGCTCCACTGCTGCAGCGACACCTGGACCCTGAGCATCTCAGCAAACTGTGAGTAACGTCCACACGCACAGTCGGAGAGTATCCACTTCAGGCGAGCAGTTTACATCAGGAATGTTCAGTGGCAAGTCGCTACCCCTTCAGGCATCTGCCCCACACCCCCCGGACAGTCTTCCGGCCACCAGTGTCCGCCCGGTTCCTCAGACAGACCTGGGGGGACTGACTCTCACACACAGGTAGAGAATGCAACCTGTGACATCACGCGCATCGTGAGTAATGACGCCAGCAGGGACCCGTGGTGCTGCTGGCAGAGCGAGCTCCTGGGTGGCCTCCAGGGACCCTTCCGTAAAACTCTGCTCTGAGCAGGCCGTGCATTCCCGGAGTTATCTGTCTTTGTATTATTGAAATGGTGGCTAACACGGTGAATTCTAGGTAGCATTTTAAATGAGTAGTAAGTCCAGAAAACCCAGAAAAGAGAGTTAGGGGGAGTAAGGTTGAAAGGTGTACATGTCTTGTGCAGCACAAAACACACCTCAAAACTTTATCACGCAGTAAAGCTGGAGGGCAGCCCCCCAGACTCAGATGACTGGGCGAGGGCAGCGTGTGCATGCGTGTCGTGGTTTCGGCGGAGATCATTCTCAGCCCCAAACATGACACGCTTTTTAAAAGTTCTATTCTTTATTTATTAAATAGATTTAATTATATTCCTTCTGAAATACAAAAGATAGAATAAATCATACCATAAAAGGTGAGACATGATAATAGGATGGTGGCCAATTAATACACGCACATCTATTTTTTTTTTCTTGACAGAGCGCCAAGTACTTAAGAGGATTAGGAGATAATTCTAGAAGCGGCACTACCTGGAAGACTATTGGGCATTTAAATACTGATTTCCCAAGTGACAGATGGCAAGTTGGAGCAAGCATTTGTGGTCACATGCATAGAAGTCCCAACAGTGACTGAGGATGAGAAATCGTCACGACGATCACCGTACGACTTAAAAACAATTCATCCACTCTGATGGCTCACCTGAAATGACCGTGAACAAAATCTCTTCAGACACGACCTGCTTCACGTTACACCCTAGGCAGGCGATGCTATGAGGACTGGGCAGGGCGGGGCCCCGGGTTTCTCACATGCAGAACACGGACTGTGTCTATTTGGTTCCATCAGCTCCTGGGCACCCTGGGCCCATGGAGGCGAGAGTTCCCCACGGACGACGAGCTGGCCGTGCCTCCCGCATCATCGACACCCTTCGAGGGGCCCTGTGGAGGCGTCGAGGCTGCTGTCAGTGTCGGAGGCCAGGGTCTGCTCGGTGGACATGGATGAGATGTCGTTGATGGAGGACGACTGGGAAGGCGTGGCGGCGCTGCTTACGGCTGCATCTGTGCTAAGAAAAGCAAACGTAATGAAACCTGACGCGCGACCCTGCGGCAGAGCCCGCTCCGTCCCAGGCGTCCGTGTCGGCCGGAAGTCGGTCGGCGGCAGGTCGGGAGCGTTTCCGGAGTCCGTCTGGAGGCCCGCAACGGCAAACGCCCTCTTTCCCTGCGACGTGCCCCCTTCTTCTCCCCGTGGCCGGGTGTCTATATGTACTCGTGTAATCACGTTAACTACTTAACAGTGTCCGCTGGTTTAAAGAGAGTGTCAAAGAAAATCGCTGGATTTACCCTAAAATTACCAATATCTCAAAAAGCTTAAGCCCAAACAGGATTTGAAAACCATCGGACATTTTGATGAGTCCAATATCAAACACTGAGTCCAAGGAAAACAGCACCAACCTTTGAAGAACTCTCCTGCAATAGCACCGCCTTCTAAAATAAGGGCTGTGTACAAACAAACAAGGAAAAATGCAGTGGCCTCCCTTCATTTTATTTTTGTTTTAGAAATCTGCAAAACTGACATTTGGAGGCAAATGAAATGGTCCCGGTTCCTCTCTCCGCATTCTGGTTTGGTCTGGGCACAAGCACAACTCCCAGGCTGCAGAGACCTGGGCCCAGCTCCCAGGAGGCTTCCGGCCCCGTTCAGGAGGTGCAGGAGGTACAGGGAGGTGCAGGGAGGTGCAGGGAGGTGCAGGAGGTGCAGGGCCACCGGAGGCTGGCCCGGGTCAGGCTGGACAGAAACGTCGGCATGAGGAACACATGGCTCTCATGGCCCAGGAGTGGGAGCTGAGGGAGCAGCTCTGGCTGCGGAGCCCCAGTCATCAAGCAGGCAGCACCCACGCGCAGGCACGAACACCATGGGCTTGCTGTCCCTGGGGCCACACAGTCAGCTTGCTGTCCATCAGCTGCTCCCACTGGGAAACTCAAGGACAAATGGGTAACTGTGTGAACCATTTTCTCAAAAGAAAACCAATTCTACTGTACCTACGTTCACATTAATTTTCTTGTTTAGCTGGGTGGGGTCGTACAAAGTGGGACGTGCACATGGAAAAGGCTTTAAACTCAAGTTTCCTCATCTACAAATGGAGGGGACAGCAGCTGCTGCAAGGATGAACAAAAGGTTTGTAACCAGGTTCGCTCACTGCCTGGCCACTCAGAACAACGTCAGCCGCCACCCCCGGGGACAAATGCACATGGGGTAGCCAGACTCCCAGCAGGAATTTTCAAGTCCAGCGCTGCTCAAGCTGGCCTCCACGCACTGCTGGCCCCTGCAGATGCTGCACATGGGGAGGAAAATGTGCTTGCACTCTGAAAGCGAGGACTAACCTGAAGGCTGATCTTTGACGACGCCATTCTTGCTTCTTTCTTCCCAGTCCATCACTTCTTTGTAAATCAGCTCTGAAAACACAAGTGCAAGGAAAAGGCTCTGTCAGCCTCCCCGCCCCCTGGGAGCCACTCCTGGGCACTGCGCCCTGTCACTTCTCATTGTGACACACAGTCCATTTGTAAAGACAGTCTGCCTGGACCCAACTATCCATATTTTGATCGATTACATCTTTTCAACCAAACAACATTAAGGACGCCAAAAACGCAGGTGGTTCTGGTTCCACACAGGGGTTTTTACACAGGACAGGGCAGAGGGGTGGGGAGGGAGAGAACTAGCAACGGGGCTCTCACAGAACATCTCCAAGTGTTGGGTGTTCTCATGCCCACTTGCATGTTTCTCTCCATCGTTACTGTGGTTTCTTCTCCACATGTGATCAGCACCCACAGGGGCTGGATGCCCCCCCAGACTGACCAGAAGTTAATCCAAATACCTAACTTTTTTCTTGGCTTCAACCTCAGTTTTCCTCAGTTTTCATTCATGAGACAAGCAATCACCAGTTAAGTATGCGACTTGGGGTCCTTGAAAGTTCAGTATTTGTGAACTGAAAGGAGCCAGGCTTCTGTATGCATCGTGGGCGCAGGCTCTGCTGAGAGTGGGTGCAGTCACAGGCCCTCTGGCCCCTGGGAAGGGGCCCCAGGAGGGGCTGCTACCACTTCTGTGTGACCACAGCTCTCAGTTACCCTTGCCTCTCATCTTCAGTGAAAAAGCATCTTTCAGTGAAAAACTCTCTTTATTGCTGGTTTGCTTGGTTAATCTTATACTAGTAGTAAAAATTATTTGCATACCTGTGATCCCCAATTTTGCCCAAATTCTGTTTTAAAACATGCATCCGACTCCAGACGTATAAACGCAGCAGAAGCTCCCAGGGAGGCCCCAGGGAAGGCCCCCTACCTGCCTCTCGGGGACGTGAAAATTCGGGTTCCTGGACATTTTGCATCATGTTAACAAGGTAAGTGTGGTGTCATTATTGTGTTTAGTTTACAAACCAGGATTTGCTCATGTCAGGTTCTGTGAAAAGGCTCATGTTTCTCTTCTGCAGCCAGTAACAAACAGTTCCTCTTTAATTCTGTTACCTTCAAGCTCTTTCTCCTGGGGAGCGAGGAGACAGAGGGTGGTGGCCTGAAACGCGAAAGCTGCCCCTCTCTGGGGCATCAGGGCACGTCCTAAGTGAGGACCAGAATTAGTAAGCTCGTGCTTACTTACCTTTCCACTCTTCAATGGCATGTTCTCTTTCTTCCAACTGGGTGTCGTAAATTTGAGGTGGTGGCTAAAAATTAAATTACATGTAAAGTCAACAGTTCACAAAATAATGAGGCATGAAGAAAAGGCAGAATCACTTGGAAGCCTTCTTATATGTTCATGACATGACATGTATTTTGCCATGTATAATGTGCACTTCTTTGCCCGTATTTGTGAGGGGAAATAAGGATGCGCATCGTACATGGTGGTGCTGATTCCCATAACCATGAATTATACATGGGGATTACCATATCTGGCGTGTGTAATGCACACTCAGATTTTTGGCCCAAACTGACAGGAAAAATCTTTCTTTTAATTCTTTAATTCAATTATTTATTTATTTATGTTTAGAAGCAAAAACCAGTGATCATATCTCAGGGTATTATTTTGCATACGGATGTTGTTATTGCTTTCTAGAATTATACTTTGAACACATTAGCATAAATAAAAGAAAGCCATTTATATAGATACAGAATTAACACTACCCATGTACAACGTACATCCGTATTTTTCTCTCAAAAATTTGGACAAAGAAATGCGCATTATACATGGCAAAATATAGTAGTTTCTTCCAAATGTGGCCCATGAAAGGTTTCTTCGTAAGTGTGATATGTCAGTTTTAGAGTCAAAACACCGCATTTTGCCATGTATAATGAGCTCCTATGTATAACATGCACCCATATGCTTGGCCCAAACTTTCAGGGAAAAAAATCTTTTGTTTTAATTTTTAAATCCAATTATTTATTTGTTTATTTTAGAAAGAAAACTGATTATTGTATTCCAGTGTATTATTTTGCATATGGATATTGTCACTGCTTTCTAGACTTATACTTTTAATGCATACACATAAATAAAAGAATTAAAACATTAAAAAATTTTTTAAAATTTATTTTATTTTTAGACAGAGGGGAAGGCAGGGAGAGAGGGAGGGAGAGAATCATCAGTGTGTGGTTGCTTCTCCCACACCCTCTACTGGGGACCTGGCCTGCAACCCAGGCATGTGCCCTGACTGGGAATGTACCAGTGACCCTTTGGTTCGCAGGCCTGTGCTCAATCCACTGAGCCACATCAGTCAGGGCTAAAAACTTTTATACAGATATGGAATTAGTACCCATGTATAATGCATGCCCCTATTTTCCCCTCAAAAATTTGTGCAAAAAGGTGTGCATTACACACAGCAAAATAATTAAGAAAAAATTACCAAAAAAATGGCGTTATTATGGTCCTCTATACAATCGCATAACCTCAAAACACTCTGAATGTAGCTGCCCCGATGCAGCTATAACACGAGCCCTCACAGCTGCTTCCTGCCTGGACGGTGCCGCACTGGGACACGTGGCAGGTGGGGTGTGGGCCAGACGCACAGTCCTCTGGGCAGGACTCCGAGCTCAACCCCCGCCCACCTGCGCACCACTGCAAAATGGGCTTACAAGTCACATGTTGATGTGTCAGACCCTGTTCACATAAAACGGTTTGAAACGGTGATTGGATCCGCAGGCCCAGACAACCCAAATGTGCGCTACGGGACTCACAGCAACAGACCACCCAGAGCAGAGCGCCCTGGGGAGAGCGCAGCGCACCCCTCCCCCCGCAGGAGCCCCAGGAGGGACAAACACTCCAAGATTTTCCACAGGAGCCTGACCGGGGCCTAAACCAGATGATGGGACCAAAGCCTGGTACACAATGGAGGCTCGGAGATGGTGACATGACAACCGCATGTCAGCCCTGCATCCAAGAACGCGACTGTACCGCCACAGCACAAGCCGGTGTGCTCCTGAAGGACGTGAAGCTGCAGCCCTGGAACAAGTGTCCCAAGGGCTGTGGCCTCTGTGACATGGCCTCGTAGTGGTCCTCGGAAGCCCAGGACTCGCCGTCCTTCCGCGGCCATTTGGACCCCATCAGCCCCCCAACAACTGCTCACCGCTTCTGCTTCGGCGGGGTCGTACCACACGGCGATGTAGGGGTGGCGCAGGGCCTCGTCCACGGAGATCCTCCTGTCAGGGTCTATCACCAGCATTTTGGACAGCAGGTCTCTGGCTTGACTGGCTAGAGTGAGAGTGAAAACAAATGATTAGATTAGTAACTAGCGCTGTTTATCTGAAAACTGCACAATAAGGCACTTCACGTGACGGCACAGATGGAACAAAGATGCATTAATTCTGACAATCTCCTGACTGGTTTAAGATCAATAGAGCCTTTTTCTTTAAGAAGATGTAAAGTGGCCCTGGCTGGCGTGGCTCAGTGGACTGAGTGCCGGCCTGCAAACCAAAGGTTGCGGGTTCGATTCCTAGTCAGGGCACATGCCTGGGTTGTGGGCCAGGTCCCCAGCAGGGGGTGCACAAGAGGCAGTCACACACTGATGTTTCCCTCTCTCTGAAAATAAGTAAATAAACTCTTATTAAAAAGGGTAAGTGGAGCAGCCCCTTTCACTAGAAACTGGGCTTTCAAATGTGGTTTTAGCCACTGGACCTGGGCGAGAAGGACAGGGCCCCGGGCTGGGTGGCCCGGGCCAGGGCAGGGAGCACCGGTGAGCACTTCCTTCTGACGTAGAGCAGACCTCACAAATCTCACAATAACCTCACGCTCACACAGTACAGAACACTTCACAGATGCCTCTGCTCTGCCTACCTGTACACAATGTTGTCAACATTCACTTTGAAAAAATCTAGAGATTAGTACAATAGTTAGAAAAAACCGAGTTCAATAACTTAGTTACATACGAGGCTCCTGTAGGTCTTGGCCATTAAAGTTGACTCAGGCAAAGGAGAGATGGGGCTTTTGTGACCGAGGGGCAGGCAACCTGCATGTGGGGAGGAGTGCACCCATTCTCCCTTACACTACATGTCACTGACGGACACAGGAGGGAAGGAGCTCTCTTTGTTGGAACTACCACCATAGGGTTTCTGACTTCGAAACTGGGAGCATTTCGAAGGGGGCATTCTGTAAACCTGAAAACTTGTGAAGTACCAATCACTGTAATTAATATATGGGCCTTTCAGGCTGGTGGGAGTATTTTTATTTTGGCCAAAGGCTTTAGTTAAACAATTTTATTGAGGACAAAACTTCTAGGTCGTGAAGCTCTCTCTCCAAAACGTCTTTGTGCTGGCCTGTAAATGGCTTTTATTCGAGGGTTTCAACCACTGTGTCTCCCAATGTTCCTAGGTTTTAGAACGAAAACATGGAAAATGAAAGCTTTACCCAGACTAGAAAATTAGTACGAGAAAAGAGGATATCTTACTTTTAATTTTGTCTCGTTCCGATTCTGATGGAAATATCCAATCTGGGAAGAGTTCTTCAAATTTGATTCCCGGATACTTTGGTCTGTTTTCTACGTAATTCCTCACTGTCGGCTGGAGTTTCTTCATGAAATCTGCAGATGGTGTTCCTAACTGCTCAATCACTTTATTCCACTGATCAATATCTGAGGAGTCTCTTGAGGAAAATACAACTGAGATGCCTTATATTCCCATTACATGACGTAGCATCATTCAAAGAAAATAAGTTATATTTATACCTGCCAACAAGTAAGTAACTAGACCACCCCACTGGGTCACTTTAAAATAATATTCAAATAAGGTCTGAGCGTCCAAGTTTAGATCATTAAAAAAAAAACCCCAAACTCTTACACTCTGCATCTTTATTAAATCAACACAACGAGGTCTATATGCCTTCCCATTCCAGGTCAAATCAGTTATCTTGTAACTGAAGAATAACTCTGACAGAAATGCTTATATGTGAAATTAGACTGTAATTATATAAGCAAGCTGGAATCAGTTTTTATACTAAAGCCATGTCAGATCTCAAACTCCTGAAGTGGGGAGACCTACGGGACCCCCTCGGCTCACAGCTGGGGAAGCAGAGCCCTCTGAGGCAGGGCCCACACCTGCCGCTTAGCTACCACTCCACGTGCAGAAAAAAACAAACAAGCAAGAGTTATCTGTACCTGTATCTCTAATTCCCAGGGTCTTCCTCTCTTAAAAGTCCTCTTATCAGCCTTTTCCCCCATCACTCCATGAAAACTGACCCATCAAGGCTGCCAGTGACCACACCTCATGCCTCACCTTTCTGCTAGCATCACGTCGCTCCCCTTGGTACCTCCCCCACCCCACCTCTCCTGGCAGGGGTCGGGGTCGGGTGGGGAAGGGGGGGCCCTCTCTGGGAGGGGCCTCTGCTTCCTTTCCAGCTCCTCTTCTTTCTGCCACCCCAGGGCACAGCCCCATTCTTCGCTCTCTCTCACCTTCCTTGCCAGCGTCCTGGCTTTACTCAGCACAGCAGACTCACCACCCCCGTTTATTTCTCCATCCCTCGCCTCCTTCCTGAGCTCAGCTCTCACTATCTCCAGGGTCTGACAGATGCCTCAGACCCCAACAAGGCTCTCCTAAAGGGCCAACCTTCAAAACAGATGTGTGTTTCAGCCCTCTCCGCCCATCCCACCCCCCTGCCACCCTGGTGGTCTCCTTGCTTCAGCGCTTGACCTTGAAGGTCTAACCCTCAGCTCAGCAGCTGGGCCACCCTTTCCCACTGAAAGTCAGATGGAAGCCTAAGAACAGGTGGGCGCTCAATAAATAGCTACTGGACCTGTGGTCAGCAGTTGGAACAGTGCGAGGACGATGGGCCAGGTGCAGAAGGTCACCAGGATGGAAAGCCCCAGATGCCTAGCAACAGGCAAAACTGGGAAAGCAGGGACCTCACCCCTAGGGTGGCCTTTCCTCCCTTGGAACGTCACTGGTCCCTTGACCTCTTCTCCCCTGGCATGCCTCCAGCCACGTGGGTCAGACCCCTTAGATGGGAACACACAAGGAGGCTGGAGAACAGCCCTACAGGAGTGAGCCCCAGGACAGTGAGGTACTGACCCGCATCAATTGCATCCAGGTCTTGGTTGTGTTTTAGCTCCAGGCCCAGAAAAGCAGGAAACCAGACAAGTGACACCATGGCTGCCTCAGGACCCCCTGCCCTGACACCTGCCAGTCAGTGGAGACGACGACACTGAAAGGACACACCTGGACACTGATGACTGTTGTACTGGCATCCTCCCCGGGACCTCCCCTAAAATCTCCACCCTTAAAAGCCCTGGGGACGGAGCACCCAGCACGCTTGCTGTCCCTCCTTGGAGCACCTGGTGTCTCTCCCCTCCCTGCCTCTTCCCTCCAGGTGGCTACCTTCACCTTTCTCTGGCCTGAGGGCCAAGGGCCCTTCTTTCGCCTCTGTTACTTGTTTCCTGAGCCCATTCCTCCCACCACTCACTCCTTCCACCTCTGTGACTTTCTACAGAAACTTTCTCTTACAGTTCGAGTCGTGGCTCTGAATTCTTTCCCAGCCAGAACTCAAGGACAGAGGCCACCTGTCCTACACCTGGCGCCATTCTTGTTGCCAACAGGTTCATGATAAAGGGCCATGTCTGCAGAGTACAGGGGGCTGGGCAACAGGAGGAGAGTCCTGACTGGCCTGGCTGGCGTCCTGGGTGTGTGAAGGCGCTACTGGTCTCTTTTACACCACAGAGAGGCCGGCGGTTAAAGAGCAGCCTTGGCTTCTTGGGGACCCAGACGGTGCGCAGCGGCCTGGCTACAGCTTCCTCTTTGTCATGGACCGAATGAGGGCAGGAGCTCCTCTTTTACCCCAGGTCACAAATCTAAAATGATCTATATGAAACTGCACTCTGGTTTCCAGAATCTTTTCCTATCATAGTAGTAATTCTTAATCTAATGTATGAAAAATTGGCAGTTATCTTTGGAAAGTTATTTTAATCTCCATGTGTGTTCTGAGAATGACATTAGGTTCCACATATAACTATTAATTACTGACACTGCAAGATATTAATATGTAATGCAGGAGTTTTAAATTAGTAATGTACCCAAAAGTACCCATATTTTTCATTTTTATACTTTTTGAAAAGAATATTTCTTAATACAAAAAGAAAAAGCACAAAATGAATAAGAACTGAGACAACCTGAATGTTAAATAGATACTTCCATATTATGTGTCTTTAGAATATATCAACTTTTCCCTTTTTAATTTACTTTATTTGCAAATTACAGCCCTCCTTACAGTTTGAAACAAGTGAGTCTAAGGCAGGCTATGGAAAACTGCTAGAAAATTTACTAGAACAAAATAAAATGCTGTATTTAACTTCACATAAAACCTGTGATGTGGAAAATGTAAAGGAAGGTAAATAAAATCACAGAAACAAAATCTTTTCATTCCAAATTTGTGCTGTGAAGAATTTACAATACAAGAAAACCACCCTCACGAAATTATGAAAAACTAAAATCACTTTAGCAAAATACATTTACTACACAGCTTGATTTCCTTTAAAAATAACCATCAATCGGCAATGAACTGAGACACTGAAAGCTTTCATTAAAAAAACACACAAAAAAACAAAGACTAATGAAAATATTAAGTGATAAGAACACAAATAAAAAAGGACGTATGTGAAGAAAATGTGTGAGTAAAAATATTAACGATGGAAGAATATGAGGAATATGAGGAAAGGAAGCCGTTACCTCATCTACTCTACTCTATGCTATGGCATTAATGCGATTTCCTGACCATGGCCGATGTTAATCATTGCATTTTATATTCATTTAGACTTCCCAGTGTCCCACAATATAACCTGAGGGGTCTTTTAAAAACTTCTATAAAGTGTCAGCAGAGTCACAAACAAGAAATTCACCATATATTGTTCCTCACACACTTTCGCTTTGATCTTTTTCATTCAGGTTGCGTGTCGTGTGCTTCAGTTCTTTGGGGAAAGTATTTTAAGTATGTGGATCATTAACAAAACAGTATGTTAATTTAATGACGCAGTAATACTGGCCTATTAGATTTAGATAGCTACTTGCCTAGTTAAATTAATTGAATGAACTACATAAACAGTATTTGCATTTATATCAGAGTACATTCATCAAACAGTAAATAAGTTTCGAATAAGCTACTTCTGATAAAATTAAGAGCCAATTATAACTGGTTTAACTTAACTCCGAGCCTCAATAAAATCACTGGAGGGAGTTGGGTGGAAGAGGAAATCTGAAGTGCTCCATTTGGTTTGTGATGCCGACTGAACAAGCACGACAAAGCCCCCGTGAGCCCAGTCTGGACTTGGGATGGTCTCCTCTGAGCGCTGGTGCCCGCGGGTTTAAGGCAAGCGCGGCGGGGAGGTCCCAGGAAGGATACGGTCAGTGCCTTGGAATATCACACAACCTTTCACCAGCTCGCCCATGATGCACCCCACTGACCAGATGTCAACTGAAAATAAAATGAAATGATGAAATTATAAAGTGCCATGAACAAAGCAAAGGTGAGGAAAAGGAACTCCAACAGTGCGCTAAACACACAAATGTGGAAGAACCAGTGGCTAAGGGTGAACGTCACACAGCGGGAATGTCGTCGGCGTCCAGTGGAGCCGTCGGTGTGCAGCAACTTGGGGTTTCAGAGCCAAAGGTTCCAAAACTTCACAGCTTAAAAAATGACCGAGACCCTAGGAGCAAGCAGTGCCTGTCCACCCAAAGCTGCTTCAGGCCACATCCCCGCTGCCCCACCCTGCAGCCAAGGCAGGGCCTCCCTGTGAAGGATACAGTCTCTTCCTGGGAACAGGACCTTATGGAGGACCATTTCCGCCATGATGCACCCGACGGACCAGATGTCCACTACCAAACACCAGGTGATTAAAACCAGCAGCAGGCCCGCACCTCTTTCCTCAGAGCCCCTCCCACACAAACACAGACCCCACTGGTTAAGGGGAGCTTTTCCAAACACCCACACCTCCTGAAAGACCCTTTCCTAAGCTGCCTAGCGGCATCAGTGAGGCCTCACAAAGACAGGTTTGCCTTCCTGGGCCAGCGCTCCTCTGCCTGCCCAGGCCTTAGGCAGCAGGCAGAGGCTGTTTGAAGCTGCTGCTGCAGGGCGGGGTGGGCGGGGTGAGGTGTTCAGGAATCTTCTCTCCTTTCCACAGGACACAAGAGAAGCCCACAGGGCGAGGTCTCTCAGAGTGGATACGAAAGTTACAGAACAGCTAAGTCAACCCGAAGCAAAACTCACTTCCTGACTCTGGCAAACGTTTGGCTTTCTTTTTGACAAATTTGTGAAAAGCTAAGTTTGAAAGAGCTCTGATAATAAGTTTTGATGTTAAAAAAACACACCGATTTTATGCACAAAGAACATGTTATTCTGTTTGGGTTAAGTTCAAAGATAAGCAGAACCGATCAATGGTGCTAGAAATTAGGGTAAAGGCTTCCCTTGGGGTTGAGACCTGGGGGACTGGGCGGGTGCTGGCCCGTGGCTGCACTCCCATGGAGCGCACACGGGAAATCTGCAGACTTTCCTGTAAGTTTGTTACACTTAGAGACACACTCAAAAACATTAACTTCAAAAGGACATGCCTCTAACTAACGGAAATAAAGCATTAACGATTTCTTACATGTGGACTATGATACTCTGAGTAACACAGTCCCCAGCTTGTATTCCACGCACCTCACAGGAGACAGACAGGACTAGGATGACCACAGCCCCATCTGGAGACGCCTCGGCTTCTCCCGGCTCCGCAGGCACTCACCGTTCTCTTTGTAGCCCATGCCCAGGATGACTTCGGGCGCCCGGTAGTACCGTGTCACCACGTACGGGGTCATCATGAAGTTGGTGCACGCCGTCCGGGCCAGGCCGAAGTCCAGGATCTTTAGGGTGCAGTCTGACTTTACGACAATGTTGCTAGGTTTCAAGTCCTGGGGCAGAAATGGTTTAAGTGAATAAAATGAATCAAAGCCTGCTAAACAAACCACCTCACGTGGGCAAGGACTGAGGGGTCTGTGACCGCTGAAGTGCCTGATGGTGCTGCTGGAGGAGGGAGTGAGAACGGAACCCTGGCCTTTGGGAACAATGTGGGAAAATCCTAGCCTCCGACTGAAACAAATACACGGACACCTAAAGAGGTCAGATGGTAGCCCTCACCCCCATGGGGAAACCTTAATGATCTATCTTTGCTTGAAACTTAGTGAGGTGGAGCTGGCTGGGCTGAGAGCCAGGCACGGGCTGGCTCCGCAAGGCACGGGCTGCCGGTGGGTAGGGGCCGTGCCACCAGGGCTCTGGACGGCAGGCATGGTGAACCTGGCAGCCATGGGGACGCGGGCTCCCGAGCAGGAGGAGGAGAGGGCAGTGAGAGACGGGAATCTCCTCCAGTTCAAGACCGTGATCAGCCCATTCCGTGGAAAGTACAGTTTAACAGCAGGCCCAGCACCCAGCGCTGGAACTCGGTCCTAAGGGCACCCCCAGCACATACAGATGGGCTGGGAAGGATGTGATGGTGGGAGGCTGCCGGACTGGCTACACCTGGCACCAAGCAGCAGCGCTGTGATGGAGGCTGGTCCGACAGCTGCTGCAGCGCTAACCAGCACTGTGTTTCCTGCTGCTGCAGCCCACTGAGCACCTCCTCAGCCGGTAGCCTCAGAACCTCCTCGTGGCCATTGAAAATCACCCCAAACTGCCTGGTTAATGCAGGACCTCACCCCCGGGGCAGGCAGCATAAACACCCCTACAGGGATCCCACAGCAAAGAGCTGCCCAGAGGGAGCACTCCCTGGCCCTCTCGTGCTGGGCGCAGACCTGCTGCATGCGTGACCCAGGCCTTGGCAGGCACTGGTCCCTTGGGAGAAGAGGGAGGTGTCGTGTGGAAGCCTTGGCTCTGACCACTTCTTGGGTTGTATGCTGTGGCTCTGCTCCCTACCAGGCTTTCCCCGTTGGGACTGGCATATAAAACCGCTTGGAAACAGGAGCGAGCGGGTCACATTTGTAAAAGACAAACTGCGGGCCAGGTGTGCGGAGGGGCTGGCATGCTGGGCGCCTCCGCTGTGCAGCGGCTTGGGGACCTGTGGTCACTTGTGCTCGTCGGGGCCCTGCCCTGCAAAATTACTTGCTGGGCTTCTTTGGAGTGGTGGGGAGATGATGATGCTTTATACAGGAAAATGCCTCGCCTTGCCAGTCCCCTATATTCGAGGCGACTGTCCTGTGTTCTTGAGGGTCATGAGTTCAGTCATCCCTTCCCCCAGATACAATGTTTGGCCTCTTAGAATGTGCATGTTCTCTCAAAGTAGCTGTTTGGAGTTTTGTTTCAAGTCTTCAGCAGTGGGCCCTAAACAGTGTATGCTGACTTCTACAACTGTCTAAAATCTCGAACATACTGTTCCATTCTAACCCAGAGCCAAGCTTCCGGCAGTGGGCACCATGTGTTCTCAGGTTTCTTCTCTGGGGGTATTGGGGACACTTGTATACCTATGTGTGAGCCCCATTTTAAACAGAAATTCTGACTTAGTTGTCCTGGAGGACCTCATTCTCGTCACCTAGAAAAACTGAAATCAACCACCCAGATATGAGACTCAAGACTCGGGACCAACAGACCCTTTGGTGTGAGGCTCAGGGAGGGCGTGGGTAAGGGGTACAGCCTGTGAAAAGCACTGACTGGTCACCATGACGAAAACCACAGTGTGGGCTCTAAGCCAAACCCACTACACTCCTGGGAGGTCAGGGGACCAGACAGGTGAGGGTTATGGTCAGTGAAAGAAAACCACACCAGTAACCTTACACTTCAAATTTTTTAAAAAGTAAAAAAATAGAGATCTAATCATATTATTTCAAGATACAGAGATAAACACTAAAACAACAGCTAAAAGAAGTAAAAGAGCTTGCTTCTGGGGAGAGAGAAAAGTAGTAAAGGAGGAGTTGGGGACTCTGCTCTTTTTAAAAAATAAACATTTGTAGAATTATCTGACCCTTGATTAAAATAAAAAAAAAACAGATCAACCAGGTAATTCGGCAAGTTGAGGACAATTATGTACAAGATGAATGCATTTCTGAAACATAAGTTAAGTAAGTATAAACAGATACGTTGGTTTCAGCTTTTGTAGGAAGTCTGCATCTGCAGGAAGTGAGGAGGGAACACTCCCCCTGGCACAGGCCACCTTCAGGTGGCAGTGAAGTACTTAAGGACTCTGGCTTCTTTTAATTTTTCAAGTTATGTAAAGTAAAAAGTGGTGGGATTATGATTTATTTTTAAATAACTAAAATTTAATGCAGGTGTAAAGCCATCTTACTGAGCAAAACTGGAAGTGTGAGCCCTAGTGCCTGGCACTGAGTGAGAGTGTGCGCCCGAGTGCCTGGCACTGCACCCAAACAAAGGATGGGCGGGTTAGCAGACTAAAGGTTAATCGCACTTCCTCACCTCTCAGGACCTGGAAGAGGGGTGAGGTGGGCACACAGGGCCTTTCAGTTTTGTTTTATCTGCCTCTCCCACAGGAGCATGTGGCACTCTTGCAGGTGGGGAACCTGGCTGGCGTCACGGGGTGGGAGCAGGATGGAGAGCTGGCCCACGGAACCGTCTGCTCAGGTCTTCTCAGGTTTCCATGCACCACCTTCGGACCGCAGCTGCCCTCTGGCTAGCAGCTGTGGGCCTGAGCGGCAGGGTCTGCACACCCCTAACACTGGCCCCTGCTGGCTGCAGCTCTCACCAGGTCCCAGCGCTGGACGATGGTGCTTTGCCACAAATATCCGGGTTCGAGGGGGAAGAAACAAGGCAAACCCTTGCCTTTTACAAAATTAATAAGCCTCAACATAACAATCTGGGCACTTATTCCAAAGCTTGAATTTAATATAAAATGTACTTAAGAGATACTAAGGATGCCTTAATTTGTATAAATGTCTATGAAAATTTTAGGAAGAGAAGTACAAAGTACATTGAGAAATCTTCATTTTTAACTTCAAAAAAGTATTGTTTTGAATGCAGATTCAACAGAATTTGTATTATGTTAACTGAACGCTGGATGGCAGCAGAGGCTTCATTTTACAAAACGGCTCCCCAGTCAGGAGCCCAGTGCTCCTCAGTGAGTCTGCCAGGCCTGGACAGGCCCTGGGAGGACCAGGGACGCCTTCTGCACGCTGGCCTCAAGCTGCCGACCTGAGGCTTATGACAGGGTCAAGGGCTGGGCCCTCTCTGAGTGGGTGGGCTCTGCCACCACGGAGACCTCCATTCAGCAGCTGTGATGGGACCAACCTTTCCTGGCACCTACTGGATCTACTGCACCATTGAAAATCTGTTTTTCTTTGTATGGATAGGCTTCATTGTTCTTATCCCACTGTCTTCCTCTGCATACAGATTTAGTTCCAAGAAATGACAATTTCTTGATGTTGAAATATAATATCTAAAGAGTCTGTGAACAGAATTAGTATGGTAATAATTTAGAGAATGCTATAAATGATTCCAATCAAATTACATTGTTTCCACCTCTAATCTCACTCAACATTTCAGTTGTTTCAAAAGTTCTATCATGGTGCTCTGCTTAAACAGCGGTCCAAGTCAAAAAAAAAAAAACAAACCCATACAACCAGCTTAGAGAATTCCATTGAATCTCCCTGGGTTTTAACTGTTACTTCCTGACAGTACAGGCAACTGTCATCCAGTCTCAGTGCAGTCAAGAGGCCCGCCCAGGTGGATGCTGGAGTGGCAGAATGTTTCAATAGAAGAAACAGATATTTGGGCCATCATTTATGCAGAATTTCTCAAACATCTATATCATTTACTACTTGGCCTCTAAATCTCCCCCATCCCAAACCTAATCCCTTGACTAATTAAAAATGGGATTTCAAATACAGCAAGAACAATGATAGGTGAATATGGGTAAACAGTACGTGGGATTTCTTTGTCCCACTCTTCTGCAGGTGGAGCTGAGCACCGGTCACTGCCCTGCACCTTGGGGCCCATGTGCGTCCAGGCCAACCGGTGAACACGACGTCTTCTGATCTCAGCAGTGTTTGGAAACTCAACACAATCCCGTAGTTTATGTGGCTTGTCAACACTGACATATATATATATTTTTTTAAATTAAGTTCTGGAACTTCCGGCCAAGATGGAGGGATAGGTGGAAACACTGTGCCTCCTAGCACAACCAAAATTAAAGACAACAAAGATTTAGAAACAAAAACACAACCAGAACAGACAGAAAATTGAACTGTATGGAAGTCCAACAACCATTTAACCAAACCGGTAAGAGAGGTGGAGTCAGCGGCCAGTGGAGAAGGACTGTGGCAGGAAAAGGTGGTGGCAGCCAGATCTGGGAGTGCAGGCGGCGCAGGGATGACCATGGTCACGCATTTGAGGGCAGATAAACTAGGCAAAAATGGGCAGCGAGACAGACCGCCATAACCCAGGGCCCCAGTGACAGGAAATAAAGCCTAAAAGCACTGATTGAAAAGGTGGCGGCTTGTGGGAAGTGGCAGAAGGGACCATAATCCGATCAGAGAGCGCAAAACACCATTATTTTATCTCTGACCCCACCCCCACATACAGTGTCACAACCAAGTGACTGGGTTGCCCCACCCTGGTGAACACCTAAGGCTCCGCCCCTCATATGCAACAGGCATGACCTCACCAAAAATGTCTCCATCAGAAGAACAAATCAAAGCCCCAGGGCCAATACTTTTAAGCAACCAAGAGATAGCCAACCTATCAGGTGCACAGTTCAAAACACTGGTGATCAGGATGCTCCCAGAACTGGTTGATTTTGGTTGCAAATTAGATGAAAAAAATGAAGGCTTCACTAAGTAAAATAAAGGAAAATGCACAGGGAACCAATAGTGATGGGAAGGAAACTAACTAACCGAGACTCAAATCAATGGCGTAGACCAGAAGGAAGAAAGAAACATTCAACCAGCATAGAATGAAGAAACAAGAATTTTAAAAAATGAGGAGAGGCTTAGGAACCTCCAGGACATTTTTAAATGTTCCCACATCCAAATTATAGGAATACCAGAAGGGGAAGAGGAAGAGCAACAAGTGGAAGTGTTACTTGAACAAATAATGAAGGAGAACTTCCCCAATCTGGCAAAGAAAATAGACTTCTAGGAAGTCCAGGAAGCTCAGAGAGCCCCAAAGAAGTTGGACCCAAGGAGGAACACACCAAGGCACATCATAATTACATTACTCAAGATTAAAATGAAGGAGAGAATCCTAGAATCAGCAAGAGAAAAGGAGACAGTTACCTAGAAAGGAGTTCCCATAAGACTGTCACCTGATTTCTCAAAAGAGACCTTACAGGCAATAAGGGGTTGGAAAGAAGTATTCCAAGTCACGAAAGGCAACAACCTACATCCAAGATTGCTCCATCCAGCAAAGCTTTCATTTAGAATGGAAGGGCAGATAAAGCAGTTCTCAGATAAGGTCAAGTTCAAGGAGTTCATCATCACCAAGCCCTTATTATATGAAATGTTAAAGGGACTTATCTAAGAAAAAGAAGATAAAAAATAGGAACAGTGAAAGGACAGCAAACTCACAGTTATTAACAACCACACCTAAAACAAAAGCAAACTAAGTAGACAGCTAGATCAGGAGCAGAGCCACAGAAATGAAGATCACATGGAAGGTCAGCAACAGGGGAGTGGGAAGAGGAAAGGAGGGGAGAAGGTACAGAGAATAAGTAGCATAGACAGTAGGGAGAAAATAGAGGGTGGGCAAGAGTAATATGGGAGATGTAGAAGCTAAAGAACTTATGACACATGGACATGAACTAAAGAGGGGGAATGTGGGTAGGAGGGGGTATGCAGGGTGGAGGGGAATGAAGGGGGAATGGGACAACTGTAATGGCATAATCAATAAAATATATTAAAAAAGTAAAAATAAATTTAAAAAAGGTACAGGGAATAAGAAGCATAAATAGTGGGTACAAAATAGACAGGGGGAGGTTAAGAATAGTACAGGAGATGGAGAAGCCAAAGAATTTATATGTACAACCCATGGACATGAACCAAGGGTGTGGGGTGAATGCTGGAGTGTGGGGATTGCAGGGTGGAAGGGGATATAGGGGAGGAAAAGTTGGGACAACTGTAATACCATAATCAATAAAGTATATTTCACCAAAAAATTAAGTTCTTTTGTATTTGGAAGATTCTGACACCAAAACAAGTGTGATTTAAAAATAAAATGAATATGGCATCACTACTTACCCGATGAATGATACCAGCTGAATGAAGGTGTTTAATACCACAGAGCATCTGGTAAAGAAGGTAGGACATTCTCTCGTGGTCCAACTCCATATGAATAACCTGACATAAGTTAGCATCCATTAATTCCATAACCAAATACCTGAGGGGAAAAAAGACCAGCCATGTACACATAAAAATCATCCAAAATTCCCTTATGGCTATTAAACCAGAGTCTTTATGAAACAGTAATAGCTTACTCCCTACTCAATGCACTGGCTAAAGTAAAATAACTTTTCTCTAAACATTTTATAAGGTATCTTGAAAAGGAGCAAATGTACAATGGAACTTTGTAAAAGTTAAAAAAAAAGCACAACTAGCAACTCAATGTCTTTCCAGTTAAAAACATTTTTTATGTCACAGTAAATTGAATCTCACACATCCAAATTCTCCTACACCTTAACTTTTTTCACTATGTAATTACTACCAGTAGAGAAGCCTGCTGTTATTTCTCTCATGTTAAGAAAACCTGATCCCTGGGATACAGCATAATACTGTAATAGACATAGTGCCAGGTGGGTACTAGACTTATCAGGGCATAACTTCCTAAGTTATATAATGTCTGATCATGGTGTTGTACACCTGAAACTAACCTAATATTGCATATTATCTGTAATTGGGAAATAAATTAATAAAAAAGACTTGACCTCACTTTCCCCAGCAGCTACTCTGCCCCCCTTTTTTATTCCCTTTGTAAACAAAGCTCCCCAAAAAGGTGTCTATGCTCACCGTTTCCAATTCTCCCCCCACTTTCCCTCGCCCCTGCTTTGATCAGGCTTTTGCCCCTCACCCTGCTGAAACCTTCCTCAAGACCCCCAGTGACTCCCACGTTGCTAAGTCCTGGTGGACAGCGTCCTTCTCCTGCCCCGCGTCTTGCCTGTGGCATGCTGGGGCTCAGTGCTCCGCCTCTGTGTCTGGGACAGTCTTGGCAACCTCCTCTGGCCTCTGGTCTCAAGGCTTTAAATACCACCGACAGACCACCAACTACACATTTGTACTTCAACTCACACCTCTCTCCAGGCTCGTTTACCTAACTGCCACCTTACGGTTCCATGCGAGGGCCCAATAGACACCTTGAAGTCCTGTCCAGGGCAGAGCTCCTGCGTGCACCTGTGCGTGCTCTCCCCGCAGCCTCCCCAACTCGGTTGAGAGCATTTTTACCATTGGCTCGGGCTGAGCTCCAGGAGCCATGCCCAGCGCCTTCCGCTCTCTCAGCACACGTCCTCTCTCAGAGCAAGCGCTGAGGTTCCACCTTCGGAAAACTGTCAGCACCCAGTCATGCCCCTCGACCCACATCAGTACCCCTCTGGTCTAAATGAAGCCACATGGCCTCTCCCCTGAGTTGCTGTAGTCACTGCCCAATTGGTCGTGTCCCTACAACTTATGGAGGGTTCTCAAAACCCAGAAACCAAAGTTATTGTTTAAAAACGGAAGTCAGGTAAGCTCCTCCCTCTGCTGAAAGTCTTACTCACTTGTCTTTGAATAAATGGAAATCCTTCCAGGGGCCTAGAAGGTGAACAGTGCCTGGCCCCATCCCTTCTCATCGCCTCTCCTCTGCTCCCTGCGCTCCAGCCCACTGGCTGCTTGCTGTTCTCAGAACACGTCAGGCGCGTTCCTACTTCTGCTCCTTCAAACTGCCTGTTCTCCCACCTCAAGCCCATCGCCCCCTAACTATCTGCAGGACTCACCTCCTCACCTCCTCCAAGGCTTTCTTCAAATGTCACCAATCCAGGGAGGTCTTTCCCCAACCCCAGCCCTCCTACTTAAAGCTCCATTCTGACTCTTAACCCCCAGCATTCCGGGTCCCCGGCCCAGCTCCACTTCTTCCACAGCACGGCCAAGTCCCAGTGCGTGACGTTGTCCCTGTCTCTGCACTTCTTATGCTGATTCTCTCTCTTCCCTGCATTCCCACATGCTTTAGGAAGGAGGGTGACCACCAGCAATTCTTAAGTAATAAAAGAGATTTTTTTCTTGTTTTAGTTATTGAAGTACGCCAAGTCTAAGAGAGTGCAAACACGGGGCTGGACATCAAATATTTGTTGGGTGAACGAATACACCAATAAATTTAGAATAAATTCGCATTTCATTTCATTGTTAGTAAGATAATTCTATTTCAGATTTTGGAGATGCACAATATTTAATGCTTAAGTATTTTAAATAATAATTGTAAACACCTGAACCCTACGATCCTGGATTTTGAGGATCTGGAGAAAAACATTTTTATATTTCAGTAAAGCAAATCAGTGGCATTAATAGTCATTGTCTGCTCTGAAGAACTGTTTCCAGTCATCCAGTATCTGTTCCGGAGATGAGCGCCATCTGGGCGCAGACGGTTGGAGATTATTATGTTTCCCTAAGAGTTCTCCTCCGCAGAGAAAAGCGGCTAAGAGAGCGTTAAGCACGTACTGTTGTCCAAAGGAAGAAAAGAAAACGAGTGCAGTCACTTTTACAAGTAAAAAAGCAGCGACTTTGTTTTCTAGACGTTCAGTCTTTGGCGCACAGTGCGTTACTGAAAAAAAAAAAAAAGGGGGGGGTACTTACACGTCTTGAAATTCTTCGAGAGTTTTTTGTGGTGTAAACACATTTAATAAACTAATTATCTGAAAAGAAAAAAAGTTAAACCTCAGAATGTCAGAAGACTCTAAAAGTTAAGTTTAACATATCAAAAACTACAGCAGAGCTCAGTATTTATTGTTATTATCACTGTTTTTACCAAAAACATTCTATTACATGGTATTTGAAAAAAGTTAGATGATCAGAATTTTCACCTCGGAAATAAGATGTACTTTTAAATCAAATCACTCTTGGGTGTCCCTAATTTATTCTTTTATTATTCAGAATTTATTATTAAGAATTCTCACACTTAATGTCTTTCTAACTCTAAACATAAAGTAGAAATTACGGGCAGAAAAACACGAAATAAAGCAATATGCTAACTTTGAAAATTTAAATACTATGTGCAAATTTCTAAAAAGTTTTGAAACATGAAGGCTAAGCTTGCATCTCTGGTGTAAGAAAGGTGAAATGCCTCAGCGTGTTCGAGGAGAGGCCCAGCGAGGCTTGGGCATCCAATGTGCATTCTCAGTCATTTCAAATGACCTCGGGAGAGAGAGACCTTTCAGCAGATAGAACTGGGGTGGCTGGCTAGCCAAGGAAAAAGTGTAACTGGATCTACACTTCAATTTTTCTTTGCACCAAGGTAAACTTGGAATGGAACAAAGATTTAAGCCCAAGTCACAAAAGCATAAAATGTGGACAAACATTTCTATAATCCTGGTATAGAAAAGCCTTTGGTCAGCATGACAGGAAACCTAAGAGATTTGATTCTATTAATCAACCCAACAAAAATAAAATTGGTAGGGCAAAGGCAACCTGAGCAAGGTCAAATGGAAAAAAAAAGTGAGGATCAGTGGGTTGACCCACACGAAGGTCTTCTATAGTGCCTGTGGAAGAGGCCAACGGCCCAGGAGAAAAATGGATGGAGGACATGGAAAAAAATTCTCAAGAAATGAAAATAAATGGGAAGAAATTTAACCTCCCAAATAAAACACATCTTTGCTCATCTGCCAGACTGTTAAACAATATGTGGTAATACTCTCAACAAAAGCACACAGCTGACAGTCTTCTTTGAGGTGAGTGTGCCAGCATGTATTGAAGTCAGAAGTATGCACACTCTTGGCTCAGCACTCGTGGTCAAGAAATTCAGCTGGATGAGTGAGTAAAGATGCGTGCAAGGGGATGCTCACATCTGGAGCATCCAGGGAAAAACTGGAGATGACCTACATCTCCAGTCACAGGTGATGGGTTAAATAAACGACTGTGCTCTGATGTACCAGGCAGCCATTTAAAAAATGGTTTCTGTCTACGTTCATTAACCTATGTGAGACTCGGCGGCATTCCTTGGGGGCAAAAGGCAGGATGCACAGTCACGGAGCTGGTCTCGTTCATGCGTGTGGAGGCTCACACGGGCACAAGGAGCTGATCTCGTTCATGTGTGTGGGAGCTCACATGTGCACAAGGAGCTGATCTCGTTCATGTGTGTGGGAGCTCACGTGTGCATGATGCTGCTCACCAAAGTGTCAATGACAGGGATCTGTGCAGGATCGAAGTCAAGGGTTTTACTTTCTTGTTCACATGGTTTGAACTTCTAAAAATAATAAGCATATTTTTGTAACCTGAAAACAATTTTTAAAAATAAATAAGTAAAATAAAGCATGCTTCAAAGAAATTAAAAATGAACTGAAAGCACAGACTCAGAAGAATGGTATACCACAGACCCAGCATAAACATCAAAACATTAAGAGTAACCTCAATCGCCCTCCAGGACAAAAAGAGGTCACATGGAGGACCTTCAAAGGCCCTTCCTGACGTAACACTTCAGGGCTTTATACCATTGGGAAGGTTACAAAAGAATGCTCAGAGACCAGCGCTCAATCTGCTAAGCCTCACCAGCCAGGGCTAAATGGTTATTTTTATCACTAGGTTACCCTGGGTCTGGATTCAATGTGACCCACAGGATTATCACACCACTAACAACATTCAAGTTACTGAAGAAACACAGATGTAACTTACATTTTTATGATTGACACATTTTAGGAGCACAAGTTCACGATAAGCTCTCTTTGCATGAGTTTGATTTTGAAAAGGCCGGCTTAGTTTCTTGACTGCAACATTTATCCCAAGAACTGTATCAAAAGCAGCACTATAATTGGGAAATATAACCAGCAATCCATTAGAATGATTTTGAAAATACAACAATGCAATATGTACAAAGCATGATCCTTTTTAATGAGTAACAAATAAGGAAAAATCTTTCTGCTTGTTTCCACCCGAGGGACTTCTGTGCGTGGACAGCCAGGTGAGCTGGCTCAGGGTAAGGGGCGGACTGCCGCCCTGCAGAGACAGGGCTCAGCAATCCTGGGCATGCCGGATTCTCACTGTATTAGTTGAGATAACTTTATTCAGAATCAAGTAATTTGATGCAGAGCATGTAACGACAATCAAGAAATGAAATCTTCGGTTTAAATATGCCAGTAAATTAGAACAAAGACCCTGGTCATCACAGGATAAACTATATTTCAGAATATCACAGTGGAGGGAATGGTTGAGCTCATGGAAGAAAACGATAAATTTAAGTTTTGATTGAGTGTGTTTTTCCCAGAAAGAATCTAAAAACAGAAGCCAAAAATCTCAGCTCATGGTAAACTGCAAGATACAAAATCCCTAATGTAAGAAATTGCTACATATAAAACTCTACAAGAAACTGCCTCCTACTAGTATAGTAAACATAGAACCTTCTGGAACCCGTGTTTCTACCATCTTCAGCTTCTAGTTGAAACTGGTTCATTTTCCTCCAGAAAGAGGAAAGACAGACAGAAAAAACTGAGTGGACCAACTGCACATTTTGTTCTAATTACAAATGATTTCTACCAGCACCATTCGAGTTACTTTACTATCTTTTGGCTACCACCCATCAGGGGCTGCAAGCTGCTAAAGACCACCTGGAAACATGAGCAACATCTAAAGTACTGTTCCCATTTCTTTATCCTATTCAGTTTACAACATGGCTCACACTTACTCCTTGAACAGTGTGTTTTTGCCAAAATTCCCTAACTTAATTCAACCTGCTTTTAAAATGAAGGCTGAAGCATTTGGTTAAGAATGGTTAGAAACTTCATGAACCCTGGAATCATTTTTTTTCTCTAGTTCAGTTCACATTATGTATACATGTTTACACATAGGTAAATTCACATGCCCCTACATAAATACATAGTTCACATGAATTATAAAATGTTAAAAGAAATCTATTTGTGAAACAAATCATTAATTAATGTACTCGTACACACGTGTATTTGTGCCTATATTTCTCAGGCTCAGAAACGTGACAAAAGACACATCTTTTTTGGTCTCAACAGTTTCCATCCGAAATGAGCCAAATGGACCAACTCTGAGCCGCTGAGCGGACACACACTTCCCGCTCCTCACTTCCACCCCAGCGGCGGCTCCCTTCCCGGTCTCACTTCTCGCAGTCACTTCTAAATTCCAACGAACATACTTTTATCACTACTTCCTCATCTATCAGCTTTAGAAATGATCTGTTCATTCCCCATTATAAAAACAGAGAATTTAGTCACGTACTGGAAGCCTCAACTCCTCCCAGGTCTTTGCTCCTGTGTTAGTCCCAGCTCTCTCTCGGTTTCCCGTGTAACTTTAAATCACATGCCCAGACTTCTGTTCCGTCAACTCCCAAAGGACCCTCTTGACTCCCTGGTGTGTGAAAGGAGACTCCTAGTCCATGTCCTCTTCCTCCAGCTCCCTACTCTCTTTCCTCCAAACATCTGGCTTCCATGGTCAAACTGGTAACTCTCTATAATTAAGTCTTCCGTGTTTCCTCACTTAGGATGTGACAATACTAATAAAAAAATCATTTAAATGAAAATAGGAGTATTGAGAGGTAAGTAAAATTACTGTAAATATTCTGTCAATATATAACTTAAGGTACTACAACAAGAAAATCATATTATTTTATACATAATATGGCATGAAAATATCATTATATATAATCATATAGTATTAGGAGTTATATATCCATTAAAAATGACAACTGTACTTAGTTTAAGGTAACTTCCAGTTTATTTATTTATTTTTTAATGATTTTATGGAGATGAGATTCACACAGACATAAAATTAACTATTTTAAAGTGAACAATTCAGTGCTGTTTGGCACATTCAGAATCTTGTACAATCAATCACTGTGCCAGTGTGATTCCCAAAGAGTCCCAGCACCCCAGACGCAAGCCCCGCCCCCAGTAAGCATGTGCTCCCCAGGCCCCCTCCCTCCCGCCCCTGTGCACAGTCTCTATGGACTCCCTGCTTTGGCTCCTTCACACCGATGGACTCAGGCCACCTTTCGTGTCTGGATCCTCTCCCCTGGCAGGCTTTGAGGACCACCCACGTTGCAGCATGGCTCAGGGCTTCATCCCTTTCTGTGATTAGTCTTCCACGTATTATATTACACACTCTGTGTGTCCATTCATCCACTGATGGACATTTGGGCTTTTTTTAACCTTTTGGCTACTGCAAATAGTGCTGCTATAAACATCTGTGTACAAGTCTTTGTTTAAACAATTGTTTCTAATTCTTTTGGGTATTTAACTAGGAGCATTTAACAGGCCATACAGTAACTTTATGTGTCACCTGTCAAGGAACCTCAAAATGTTTTCCACAAGTGGCTGCACCAGTCTACATTCTTACCAGCAATGTACAGGGTTCTAATTTCCTCACATCTTTTTTGTTTTAATTTAATTTATTTACCTTTAGAAGGGAAGGGAAGGAGAGAGGGAGAGAAATATCAATGTATGGTTGCTTCTGGTGCATCCCCTGCTGGAAACTGGCCTGCAACCCAGGCATGTGCCCTGATGGGGAATCGAACTGCGATCTTTTGGTTTGCAGGCCCACGCTCAATCCACTGAGCTACACCAGCCAGGGCCAAGTTTCCTCACATCTTTGTCAACATTTGTTACTTGGGTTTTGATTATGGTCATCCTGGTGGCTGTGAAGTGGTGTCCCATTGTGGTTTTGATTCACATTTCCCAAATGACTAATGACTAAGAGCCTTTCCATGTGTTTATTGGCCATTTGTGTGTCTTCTTCAAGGAAAAGGCCTATTAAAATCCTTTGCCTTTTTTTTTACTGTGTTTTTCTTTTTATTGTTGAGTTGTAAAAGTTCTTTATGTATTCTGGATACTAGATTCTTACAAGATATCCTATCTGTGAATATTCCCCCAATTTGTAGGTGGTTTTCTTACTATCTTGATAGTGTCCCTTGTTGCACAATTTGATGAAGTCCCATGTGTTTCTTTTATTGCCCATGCTTCTGTGCCATTTCTGAGGATCCAGTGTCATGAAGTTTCCCCCTATGTTTTCTTCCAGGAGTTCCATGGGGTCAGCTCTTCTACTTAGGGTGCCGGCCCGTTTCGCGTTGACTTCACACCGCGATGTGAGACAGGAGTCCAGCCCCCTCCTTGGCGTGTGCATGTGCAGCTGTCCCGGCCGCGGGGCTGGAAGAGACTGTTCTCTTCCCGCTGAATAATCTCGGGCCCTTTGTGAAAACCAGGCCACAGGTGTGTGGGTTTACTTCTGTACTCTCAGCTTTTAAATTTTTTTAAAGAACTTCTTTTTATTATTATTATTTATTTATCTTTAGAGGGGAAGGGAAGGAGAGAGGGAGAGAAATATCAATGTATGGTTGCCTCTTGTACATCCCCTGCTGTGAACTGGCCTGCAACCCAGGCATGTGCCCTGACTGGGAATCGAACCTCAATCCTTTGGTTCACAGCCCGCACTCAATCCACTGAGCTATACCACCCAGGGCCCTAAATTTTTAAATAAATTCTTATCTTCCCATCCTATAATTCTACCACTGCTTTTGCCAGAGGAGATACAGTTTATAATGGCATATTAGAAACTTTTATGTCAAAATTAGAACTTTGAAATGAGAAATACACATTCATAATGAACATTCATAATTTCATTATTAAACATTCTTTAAAAAAGAGATGGTGCCTAGAAGTAGCATAGGCAAACTGAAAATCAAAACCAACATGCAAAATAGCATTTTATAAAGTATAGGATTTTACTGCTACTGAAGTCGTGTGTAATGAAGTCATCAGTTTTAACTGCCCACCCTTTGTACAGCCTTCTGTTTTACCACTGATTATGAACTTCTAGTCAGGGTCTCAGTGTAGGTGTTACATGAAATGCCCTTGGTGTCAGCCTTGCAGAATTACCTGTGTAAAATTACCATGCAATTCCAAATATGAGATGGATTTAAAATCAAAAGAACATTTTATCACATAGAACTTTTTATTAACATCAAAACATCCTAACGGGAGCCACCCACTGACTGTACAACCTCCCAGGGCACACCGGGTTTAAGTGCCAGGATGGCGTGTTATCACTCGAAAATTAGGATCAGCCCTATTTTAGACACAGGCTGGGCATTCCTTCCAAACAGCCTTTCTCCCGAATCAGTTTGCCCGGGGAACTCTGAACGACCATCTCCTCTTCTCTCACAGGCCTCCAGCCGCCCGGGCCAAAGAAAATGGCCCACTACATGTAGTGGCCCTGACCACATGCCACTACAACAGAGGCTCAGTTACAAGCTGGTGAAGCGTCTCTAAACGCAAGGTCTCTAAGGAAAGCAAACCTCTACCACAGCATTCATGAGTTCTCTTTCACCTCGGAACCCCTGCTACCAGCTGTAAACACTGGGTGTTTAGCTACATCACAGTTTCTTTTAGATGCAAATACAATTTTACTTTTATTGACCAAAAAAAAAAAGAAAGAAAAAAACGTTTTGCCAGAAAACTAAGGGATAAGAAGTTTGGGAAGTGCTGATAATGGTAATCTAGAAAACAGGTGAAAACTTTACCTTTAGCTGGCCGGTGATGTCGCGGCAGCTGTCTTACCATGCAAGAGACTAAGGTTCAGGGTCAGACCAAGGGTTCTGACGTCCTGGAGACACCAAGGAAGAGACGGCCAGCCCAACCCCTCACACAGCATCCCTTCCTGGTTAATCCATGGGTGACAATGACACTGACTGGCCTCATCCTGCCAATGAAGGGCAAGGCCCTGCTGTGATGGCGCCTAGAAATGAATAGGAGTGATTGGGGATAAAAGGGGGAGGGGAGAGGTGGCCAGGATGAAGAAATGAATAAAACTCCAAATTTCTGTTACAACTCACTGTCATTCCTAGTGCTCTAATATCATCATGGCAGGGGGATGGAAAAGGAAAAAAAAAAGAACAGAAAAGAAACAAAGAAAAACTGCTACCTATTTAATTTATGCAGCGTTCTAAGAATTTGGGTCTGTGCCCTACAATCAGGCTACATGTAACTAGAGCAAGAGGTTGGTTCAATTAGGCTCATAGACCTAGATTAGAGCAAAGAGGAGACAACTTTCATCATCAGCAGTTCTAAATTCTGATGACTCAGTTCTACTTCATTTTTATTACAAGAACAACTCGATGCACAGTACCGAAACAGACAGCACTTACCAAACAATCCCTTGGGCTCCAGAGCCAATGGGTTTCAGCTGCTGGTAACGCTTGAGCACAGTGAAAGTTGAGTCCGCCACTTGCACACTGTAAAACTGACTATCACATTTACTGTCACTCATGATGTAGTGTCACGTGATAGATATTCCAAAGGCTACACGGTCGTCAGATTCCTTAAAAAAAAAACCAGAATGAATATGCATTCTTCCTGAACTTAGACACGCAGCTAGCTTCACAGTGTTTCAAATTTATTGGTATATAAAACAATTTGGCTATAAGTTCATAAACTCAGTTGGACCAAGTTCTGAACTTAAGCAACACATGAAAAATTCAAAGATGTTTCCCTAGTACAGGACTATTATGAAAGGAAGAAAATTTGAGGCCCTGTGTGATCACATTTTATAGAATTGGATTAGAAAATAACCCCCTTTGGAGAAAAGAAATTCCACTTTAAAAAAAAAAAGATTTTATTTCTTTATTTTTAGAGAGCAGGGAAAGGGGAGGAGAGAAACATCAATGTGTGGTTGCCTCTTGTGCACCTCCTACTGGGGGCCTGGCCCGAAACCCAGGCATGCACCCTGACTGGGAATTGAACCGGCAACCCTTTGGTTCACAGGCCCATGCTGAATCCACTGAGCTACACTAGCCAGGGTAAAAATGCGCATTTTTTTCTAGCCACAAATAGACTATGAGGTCTGTTTGGAAAAAGCACAACCATTGTTAGTACACTTAGCACAACATCAATGTAACCTGGCAGCCAAGGAGAGTGGATGGAATGTGGCATGTGAACAATGATGACTTCACTGTACTAGTCCGTGGGGGCAGTAGACACTGCTGAGTGAGCATGTCTGTGAGACCATCATAATCAAAATGGCTGAGGGAGTAGAGAAACAAATCTGTATCAAATTCTGCATTAAACTTAAACATCCCTCCGCAAAAACTATTGGGATGATAGTTTCAGAAGGCTGCAGCTGTGGGCAACTGGTGATTGGCAGCTTTATCATGACAATAAGCCTGCTCATGCATCATGTCTCGTGTAGAGTATTTTGGCAAAATGTCGAATCACCCAGATAACTTAGCTCACCTATAGCCCAGACTTGGTGCTCTGGGACTTCTGGCTTTTCCCAAAACTAAAATCACCTTTGAAAGGGAAGAGATTTTAGACCGTGGATGAGATTCAGGAAAATACAACGGGGCAGCTGATGGCAAGTGGAAGAACTGTGTGAGGTCCCAAGGTGCCTTCTCTGAAGGGGACTAAGGCATCACTATCCTATGTATGATGGTTCTTGTTTCTTGTATCTTCTTCAGTAAATGTCTCTATTTTTCATACTATGTGGATGGACACTTCCTAGACAGGCCTCGTGTGTCACTATGTGATTCTTATCAGCTGGCTTCCTGTGGGACCCGCTTACAAGAAGCTGTCTCAACCAGAGAGGACGCACTGTTTCAAATAAACACGCCTACAATTCCTGCAGAAAAACAAATGCACCAGTCTTCTCTTAAGTCCATAAATACAGGTTAAAGTGATGTACCAGAAAGCAAGCCCTGCATCAGGGTGATGGAAAGGGAGAAGCTGGAGAACAGCAGGCTGTCAGAGGCCTGGGGACGCGGGTATGCCGAGTCTGCTCACAGGCGTGATCCTGCCTGGTACAAGTGCTCAGAAGATGCCCCTGTCCTCGCACCCACATCACTAGAGGGAGACCAGCAATATGGATGCCACGACATTCACTCATGCGGCCTGAGTGTACCCCGGCAGCCTGGGAGCAGCCTTCCCAGACTTCGGGCAGAGGCTGACAGGCGGAGATGCGCACTCTGCAGGAGCCCCCATGATTTTAAACAGAAATCGCCAGATCACTAGTCTTATTTTCATGATTCCCTGGCTCTTGTCTGGCAATTTTACTAAAATGTCAGGAAGCATTTAAGTTTGTCCTTTTTTTTTAAAAAAAGGCCAACAATTAAATAATAGAGATGAACATTCTATACTGTTTAAAACCACAGAATTTAAACCTTATTCTGTCCCACCAGGAAATTCCTGCCCGTTTGCCGTAGGATCTGATATTTAATGTCTGTCCACTGAGTGATCTAGAGTGACGTCTAGGATTTCCATCAAACATGAAAATAATGTGATTGATGACAGGTCTAAACAAGGAATTTGAATCAAATGAATGGTCTCTCTGACTGACCACCGCTTCACGTTCTTACTGTCCTCAGGCATGGCTGTCAGCACCACCAGCCTCTGCAACTGAAGACCACGCACCCTGCCAGGCACAGCTCGGGGAGAGGCCAACCCTGCACACGATGCGAGGAGCCACCACACCGCTCACAACACCACAGCAGACCAAGTCACGCTGCTGCGGGGAGGTCCCCGTGCTCCGGGGGGACAGGGGCAGGCCTGTCTTGCTTACCCAGGCTTCCCACACTCACAGGGCCTTCAACAGACCTTTGCTGATCTAACCCATAACATGGCATCTGATGATGCCACAATGCCACTCCATTTCACTTGCATCTTGAAAGAATATCCTCTTTTAAAGATTCATTTATTTATATACAATCCCACTCAACATTTGTGGGGTGCCATTCACAACAAGTCATGTAGGAGGTACACAGCAGCAGCTAGGAACCAGTCTTAAAGCAGCACGGAGCTCACGACGGGGTTGGGGGAAGTGTGAGGAGTGAATCCATTATCCAAAAAGTAATACAAGCTACAATGAGGTGAGGCCATGAGCAAAACGTTAACCAAGTCAAGAGGCTCTACCCACAGGTGGGAGTGGGGGAGACGAGGAGAGCTTCCTGGGGGAGGTGGCGTCTGACCTGGCCCATCTCCCCAGAGGCAGACAGGAGAGGCACAGGGCTCGAGCTGACTGCACAGACACAGCGAACTGTTCAGCTGAGCTGGTTGGGTACAAATACAAAGGGTCAGAGGCAGACTTGGCAAAAAGGCGGGCAGCCACTTCTACCTGCTATTTCTCTGCCACACTGTAAGACATCATCAATGCTGGTCATTCATGAAGCATGTCCTGAGCACCGCTGTGGGCAAAGTCCTGTGCTGGAGCAGCCAGCATGCCTGTCCTCAGCGAGCTCACGGAGAGTGCACACTGTGGGCACACTCAGTAAGAGACACAGGGCCAGAAAAGCCCTGAACCCAGGAGTGTGGAGAAGCTTTGGGGTGCGGGAAGGAAAACAGCATGTACAAAGAGCTGGAGATGCCTCTGAGCACGACGAGTCATTTGAGATTTGGTTTTGCTGGGTAGTAGGGGAAGGAAGCTGGAGAGAGAAAATGAGGCCCAGTCTCCAGGGGCCCAGCCACTGCTGGGAGCAGCCTGGGCCTGAGGGCTGTGAAGCCACCAAAGCACATGAGGCCCATGACCCGACTTGCTCTTCAGGGAGCTCCTTTGGGAAGCTGAGCAAGGGGTGGGTTTGAGAGGGCAGGATGGAAGATGAAGAGACCTGGCAAAAATGACTGGGTCCTGGCAGGCAGCAGAAGAGAGACGCACAGGCTGGAAGAAGAGGATGTGCGGCTCACTGCCCTCAGAGGAGACGGGAGAAATGAAATGAGGAGACCCAGCTGAGTCTGGAGTTCAGCCTTGGAGGCCGGGGCCCCTTCGGGACACATAGCACGAGGGGCACGGGCTCTCGAGGCACTCCAGGACCTGGTCCTCCCTTCTGTGTTTCAGTGACAGAAGCCTTTCTGTCCCGGCTGGATGAATGACTGCCCAGCAAGAGACGACATCTGGCTGCTTTCCTGGTGGCCAGTCATCAACTTTTAGCTAAAGAGATAAGAGCAGAAGCCACGTGCACCACCTCCAGGTCCTTTCCCAGCAGAAAGCTGTGTGCGGACCAGTCTGCCCCTCCCTCTGCAGCTGGCTGGGGGACGAGCGGTCACAGACTGGGAGGTGGAATTCACACGCCAGAGCCCCCACCAGCCAGTGTTCCGCATGACCCGGTGGCATAGAGACGTCCCCCCTCTGGTCCACCTGCCCGCACTGAGACTGGCACAAATTAATCCTTGTTGAGCAAGTGGGGGACTCTTTCTGCTACAGCTGTTGTAACCTATAGGCTGACTGGAACAATATTAGGTTAGCTTTTGTAAGTTTTGGGAATGCATTACATCATTAGGTTCAAGAATTATTAACATAATTTCATCTCAAGATTTAAAATAATTTAAAAATTAAAATAAGTTGTCCTTCTTAGGCCAGGAAAAAAGCACCTAAGAGAAACCCGCTGGAGCCACCTTCTCTGTCAAGCTCGGGCCTCGTGAGCACAAGGGAAAGAACTTCCCGAGAAAACAGGTAATTATAGTTATTAATGAAATCAATTCTGCTGCGATTATATGTCAACAAAATGGATATCAACAGGGTTTTAGAAAACAGTTTACAAAGTGCAAAATATACGAATTCCTCATGCAACACTGTTGCAACACACTGAAGCTGCACTTGCTGCCTCCACGTCCCTCCCCTGCGGGCGCTGGTTCTTCACCTCACTTCCAGCCATGGGACCTGGGGCCCACCAGGCCAGGGCCTCAAAAGCAGGGAGGCCCTGTCTTCCTTCCCCTACAGCATCACTTGATACACTTAAGGAAATGTCCAAGGCCCACCAATGATCCACTGACAAAGCTCTTGGGGACACGTCCTGCTCCTGGGTCTCTCCAGACCTGAGTGCAGTGAGCGGACATCCAGAGGGAAGGAGTCAGTGCAACCTTTGTTGAAGGCTCTGGCTCCTGCCTGTGGCCTTCCCACTCACTTTCCATGCTGCTTCCTGAATGCTCAATGAATGACATGCTGTCACCCAAAATCTCTTCTTCTCTAAGACTGGGCACTCTTGTAGAATCCCCTCTAACTACAGGAGTGACCTCTACCCTGTCTATAACTACATACTGGTGGGGAGGAACATTCCTACCTGCTTAGAATCTAGAGTAAAAAATACTTAAAAAAAAAACTCTCCAGTTCTAGTATTCTTCTGAGTATAAGCACTTTAGGTACTATCAACACAATATTGAATCTCTGGTTACTTTTTACAAATTAAAAAAATTGCTCTAAGTCTCATGGTACATCAGCTACTGCTTACTGCGTTCTCCCAACACACATTTCCCAAGGGCCTCTTGTGTTCCAAGCAAGAGGTGGAGGCTGTTGAGAGCGAGCACTAACCAGACAGCCCCTTCCCTCAAACTACCAAC